TAAGAAGAATATATGCAGTGTATTATTTGTTGAAATTGTACTTCCGATTTGATTTGAAACTGTCTCATTGCTATCTGTTTATCAATAAAACTTTGAGAAAAAGGAAATTAAAAAAAAAATAACCAGAGGTTCGGGAGATAGCTTGGCAGTCTAAGCTCCTGCCTGGCAAGACCAAGGACCTGAGTTTGATCCTCAGTACCGCATGCTGTGCTGGCCCCAGAACCAGGCATGGTGGCACACTCCTGTAATCCCCACACTGGAGAGGGTGAGACAGGAGGATCATTATGAGTCTGAGCTGCTTAGCAAGACCCTGTACCAAATAAATAAATAAATAAATAAATAAATAAATAAATAAACTCAGAAAAAAATCTAGATAACTTTGAGTTTGGTGATTGTTTTTTATATAGAAAACTTTTAGATACATAAGCGTGGTCAGTGAAAAAAAAACAATGATTCATTAAAATTAATAATGTTTGCCCTTCACTGCAAGACACTGTCAATGAAAAGATAAATCACAATATGGGATACAAGATCTACCAAGCATATGCCTAATTAAGGATTTACCTCACATACACAAAGAACCCTTAAACTTCAGGGATATGAAAGCAACCCAAGTGAAAAATGGACAAAGAGTTTGAATAGCTATCTCATGTAAGAGCATGTAGAGAAGGAAAATAAGAATTACAGAAGATGTTTAACATATTAATTCAAATTGAATTCTTGCAGATTCAAAGAATATATTATACATACCTGTTAGGACAACAGACAACATCAAGACAATACCAAGTAAGATACAAATACTACAGACATAAAGTAACAGCAACTCTCAATCTTTGCTGGTAGAAATGCAAAATGGTACAGCCACTTTGGAGGATGGTTTGGCAATTCCTTTAAAAGCTAAATGTAGACTTAATGTACAATTGCTCTCTAGATATTTACAAAATGAAGTAATTAAAAATATGTCCAAAAGCCCCTTCACATGAATATTTATGGCTGGTTAATTTATAACTGCCCAAACTGTAATAAATCAAAGTGTTCTTTAATAGATGAACAGATAAATACACATACAATAGAATATTATTCAGTGATTTTTTTGTTTGTTTGTTTGTTTGGCAGAACCGGGGATTGAACTCAGGCCCTTGAGGTTGTCAGGCAAGCACTTATTCTACAGAGCTATCTCCCCGGCCCTAGTGATTTTTTTTTTAAATGAGCTACCAAGGAACAAAAAAATATGAAAGAAAGGCTGGCCTGGTAGCTGAGCAGACTAAAGTGCCTGCTTAAGCAGAGCACAGTGGCCGGGGTTCGATCCCTGGCGTGTGGTGGCAGCTTCGCCCCTGAGGCAAGCTGAGATGGCAATTGAGACTCATCATGGTAGCACATGCCTGTAATCCCAGCGCTTGGGAGGCTGTAAACAGGAGAATCACTAGGAGTCCAATCTACATAATGAGAAGCTGTCAACCCTGCCTTAAATACAAAAAAAAAAAAAAATCAAAGAAACTTAGCTGCATTATTAAGTCACATACTGGATTTTTCCAAGCAAATAACATCCTGGAGATATGGAAAGACTGCCAGTTGCCAAGAGCTCAGAAGGGTAGGTAGGGAGGATGAAATAATGGAGTAGTAGAGATTTTGACAGGGGTATAAAATGACTCCATGATATCATGTTGGTGAGTCTATAATATTATGCATTTGTTGAAGTCCAGAGTTGTACAACACAGAACGGAACTTGCTGTATACCATGGACTTTATTATTAACTATCAATACAGGTTCACCAGTTGTAACTGTTACACCCCAGTACTGCAAGATTTTTCTGGGAGGGCACTGAAAATCGAAGTTTTTCTGGTTTGGGCTGTAACTACCCTACCAGGCATAGGGTATTAGCAATATGCTTCATTTGCACTTCTTTAATGATTATTGATATTGATCCTTTTCTTGTTCCAACACATGGTACAACGTAAATGAAACCTTTTCATATGTTTATTGCCCATATGTTATTCTTATTTGGAAAAAATGCCTATTTTAAGTCCTTTATCTACTTTTGTATTAGGTTTTTTTCTGTGCAACATCTTGCACTTGCAAGATCGTACAACAGGGGAAACTGATTTATGTGAGTGAGGTGAGGGTGTGTGACAAGTCTGCATCTTTTGTGCAGTTTTTCTATAGGTCAGAACTGCTTTGAAACAGTCTCATCAATTTCTAAATGAATAAAGTTACCACGAAATTATTTCACATTTCAAACTGCCCATGATTTTGAAAACAATGTCAGTAAGGGGAAAAAATTCACTGACCAAAAGATTTAAATTTTTATTGACCTCTTGATTTAGCAAGTCTCTTTCTAGGAAAAAATCCTAAGAAAATAACTATAGATTAAGTAAATGTTACTTATTACAACAAAGGGCATCAAAAAGCAAGAGACATCTAAAAAAAAAGTAAAAAATGGGGCCGGCAAGCTAGCTCAGCGGTCTAAAGCACCTGCTTAGGCAAGCTTAGGCAGGTGCAGGGAACCGTGGTTCAATCCCAGGCACCACAGCTGTGCCAGCCCTGCCCTCAGGGAAGCTGAGCCAGCCAAAAAAAGGAGACAAAAAGATGACATAGTTGTAAAAATAAATCTTTAAGCACTATATACATATGAAATTAAGAGGATGGCTAACAAAATATTAATAGTGAATACCCTTATTATATAGTCTATTTTTTTCTTAAGATTAGAAATAAAGGTTACATCCATCAGAATGTATACATACAACTAAAAACACAGAAAATAACAAATGTCAAGAATGTGGAGAAAATGGAATGCCTGCGCACTGTTGGTGGCAGTGTACAACGGTTACAGCTGCTACGAAAGGCAGTATTTCAGTGCCTCTGAAATAAACACAGCTTTAGCATGTGATCCACCTCTTTCTCTTCTTTGTACGTACTCTTGAAAAGAGTACGTACAAAGAGCCTCAGACAGACATGCACCCACGTGTTCACAGCAGCCGTATCACAAGTTATAGGTGGAAGCAAGTGGAGCATCCACAGGTAGATGAATGAGTAAACAATGTGGCATGCTTATAGAACGGAATATTACTTGGCCTTATAGAACACACACACTGCAGACATCGTGCTAAGCAACATAGGCCAGTTACAAGAAGCCAGACACTATACTGTATGGTTCCACTCACAGGATTCAGAGCATAGTAACAGGACATAACAAGCAAACACTAGATTACCTCTTTCTGGGAATATGTTGTTTTTGGTGAGTTTGACACTTTTGGGCCTGGGGTGGTTATCATCCATACCCATGATCAGGTTGCGGAAAAACAAATCAAATTTCTTTCTACTGTCTGCATTGATGGTGCCGGCCACAGTCCATACCAAGGAGAAGAGGAATAGTCCTTGAAGCCAGAGGAAGATCTGCTGACTCGACAGGCCTTCAGAGAGTTCGCTTTCCTCATTTCCTGCACATTTAATCTCATCTAAAAGTGCGCAAAAGGGAAAGGTCAGGATGAAAAGCAGACTCCTGTGGATAGAAAGATGTGAACTTACTGGTGTTGGCTATGAGGGACGTGGGCATTTGCCTGATACAGGCTGAGCACCTATCACAGACCAGGTCCTTTATCATATACCTTTGATTGTAAAAATAAATGCTACCTACAATTTTCCATCTTTCCTATTTTCAGCGTACATTTTGGGGTACTAAGTACATTCTTGTGTAACCAGACCATGGTTCATATGCAGAACACTTCATCTTGGGAACTAAAATTCTGTGCCCACTAAGCAATAGCTTGCCTGCCATCTTCAGTCTCCAAATAACCAGAATTCTACTTCCTCTTTATGTAAGTTCGACTGCTCTGAAGACATCGCAGAAAGAGAACCATGCAGTCATCTTCCAGCTGGCTTATTTCACTAATCATAAAGTGTGCAAGCTTCATGTATGCTGTAGCATGTGTTAGAATTTAGTTCATTTTCAAGACTGAATTATAGTCATCCCTGTGACCACATTGTGTCCATTCATCCGCTAATGGACGCTGGGTTGCTTCCACAATTTTAGAACTACAAATAAGTCTGCTATGGTGTGATAAGGCTACATTCACTTTTTTGAGAAACCCTAAACTGTTTTCTTTCGTGAGTACACCATGTGGACTTAAGTTATGTAGGAGGGTTCCAGTTCTCTACATCTTCACCAGTTTTCTGGTTTGGGCTGTAGCCATCCTGCCAGGTTTAGGGTATTCGCAATATGATCAATTTGCACTTCTTTAATGATTATTGATGTTGATCCTTTTCGTGTTCCAACACACGGTACGATATAAATGCAGCCTTTTCATATGCTTATTGCCCGTATGTTACTCTTCTTTGGAAAAATGCTGATTTTAAGTCCTCTATCTACTTTGGTATTAGGTTTTTTATTTTTTTTTTTAATTGAAAAGAAGAGTTAATGCTTGTTTCATCAACCTTACATACATACATTTGGTTAGGTTTTTTATTTTTGTGTTAATTTTAGTAGTTTTCTCACTATTCTAGATGTTACTCCTTTATCAGATATATAATTTTGAAACATTTTGCTCTGTGTGGGTTGCCTTTTTTACTCTGTTGATTGTGCCTTTTAAAGCATAAAAATCTTAAATTTTAATTCAGCCCAACTTGTCTGTTTTTTCCTTTTGTTTCCTGTGCCTTTGGTGTTAAATATAAGATATCACTGTCAAATTCAATGTCATGAGCTTTTGCCTTATGTTTCTTCTGAAAATGTTATAGTTTTAACATTTATGTTTAGAACTCTCACCCACTTTACATTAATTTGTTTATTATATTAAGTACAGGTCCAGGTTCATTCTTTAGCATATGAATGCCTATTTTTCCATGCACTAATTTGTTGAAAATATTTTTTCCTACTGAGTGGTCTTGGTACATACAGGGTCAAAATAATTTGTTTAGTATAGGGTCAAAACAATTTTACCATATATAGGACATTTCTGTGCTGTCTATGCTATTCCACTGGTTATATATTTTGTCTTTATACTAGTACCATACTGATTTGATTACTACAACTTTGCAA